GATGTGCTGACACACAGCCCTGGAGGGGCCCCAGCTGAGGCTCTGGTTCTGTTCCCTTTGCAGGTCATTACTCCCTACACTTCGACGCCTTCCACCACCCCCTGGGTGACACCCCCCCGGCCCTGCCTGCCCGGACTCTGCGCAAGGTAATGTACTGAAGCAACAGCCCCATCGGGGCGTGAGAGGAGGCTTCTCATCCGCTCTGGGGTCACCCTCCCTGCTCCTCTGTCCCAGAGCACCTAGCCCAGCAGAAGCTAGGGGTGGCCAGGGCCACACTCGAGATGCAGATAACTGATGCGTCCTGCAACCAATGCAATGGGGCCAGGGAGGTCATAGGGTCCCGGGGACAGCAACATACGGTACCCAGAGTGCACGGGCAAGGGGCAGTGAGGGGCTGGGGGCTCCCTGCTGATGCCACGAGGTATCAGCATGCTACAATTCAAGAAGTAAAGAAATACTCCCATAGTAGATGGTAGAGCATTTTAAACTAGAATCCAGTCAAAAGCAAGAGGCAGGAGGCAGCAAAGCCTCGTGATAACTCACTCATTTTTCTGCACACTGGAAAAGACGAACTCAGTCACAGATTTTAGCAGCAGAGTCCGTTCACCTGGCCATGGTCCCTGGGGTTCTTTCTGCTCTCCCCACTGGCCTGCTGACCCAGCACCCCAGAGCCACGGGGTACAAATGCCTAGCGGCCAGGGCAGGGCCATGTTTTTGCCCACAGAAATGCAGCTGATTCTGGGGCTTCACTGGCTTGCTAGGGGGCCCGGGCGGGGCAGGGGGCGGGCAGGGCTGGGAGGTGGCCGCCGAAGAGACAGATGGGTGACCGGCCCTGTCTTCACACGGAGAGCCCATCCGCCTGTCTGCAGCGGGGGTTCTAACTTGCGCACCCTTTGCTTTGCAGTCTCCTCTCCACCCTATCCCGGCCTCCCCCACGAGCCCCCAGTCGGGTCTGGACGGCAGCAACTCCACACTGTCGGGCAGTGCCAGCAGCGGCGTGTCCTCCCTGAGCGAGAGTAACTTTGGGCACTCCTCGGAGGCCCCACCCCGAACCGACACCATGGACTCCATGCCGAGCCAGGCCTGGAACGCCGATGAAGATCTCGAGCCACCCTACCTCCCTGTCCACTACAGCCTCTCCGAGTCCGCCGTCCTGGACTCCATCAAGGCCCAGCCATGCCGAAGCCACTCAGCCCCGGGGTGCGTCATCCCTCAGGACCCCATGGACCCGCCTGCGCTGCCGCCCAAGCCCTACCACAGCCGCCTGCCGGCCCTGGAGCACGAGGAGAGCGTGCTGCTACGTGAAGACGCCGACAGGCCTCGGGGCCTGCACCGCAAGGCCTCGCTGCCTCCTGGGAGCGCCAAGGAAGAGCAGGCCCGCCTGGCCTGGGAGCACGGCCGAGGGGAGCAGTGAGGGGTAGGGAGGCGGCCGGGACGCCGCCCGCCGTGACAGCTTGCCCAGCCACTCCAGGTGTGAAAAGCAAGTCTCCCCCACCCCAGGGAGCTGGAGAGGCCCGGCACTGAGGAGAGAGCCACCCCGAGTCTACGTTCTACTGCCGTGAACTCGTGTGTTGCCATGTACAGAGGCCACAGCAGCATGAAGGGTTGTGGCTTCTCTTTTTAGTTCATTTTCTACGTTTCCATTTCTATGGGTTTTCCTTTCTTTCCTTTGTGCAGTAGATGCTTTCTTCCTCCTGCAGTTCCAGACCACGTGGAGCTATACGGAGATATTGCACAGACAGAATTGCTTTGCAGGGCCCGGGCGTCAGAGCCCAGGCCCTCCCTGCAGGGCAGAGAGGCACAGAAGAATGGAAATTGCACTAGGGACTTCTTCCGCTGCTGCATGGACAGAAGAGCTCATGGTTGTATTCAGGGATTTGCAAGGACCACGTGGACTACACGTCACAGGTGGACAAGGGAGCTACAAGCCGTTTTGCACAAAAGCCTACCCACCCGCCCACTCTTCCGTCCAGGAGTGTGCACCTGAGGGGCTGCTTGGGCCAACCTGCCAGCTCAGGCATGCGACCTAGCCTAACGGCATGCCCAGGTCATACTACCAGGCTTCCGTGGGTCAGCCCTGCCTCCCACTCTACCTTGGATTTTTCCCTCCATCACTTTTATTTCTGACCATTTGCTCCCTTCCACTCTCTCAACACACCTCATGCCCTGCAGGAGCCCCCCTGGCGAATGGATCTGCAAAGGTTATCTCCTGCCCTCTGGGGTTTGAGTGGGGGTGTGGAGCCAGAGGCCATAACCACCTTCCTCCCCCGGGGCCCAGGAGGCCAAGTGTTGAGAGAAGAGCTGGCATAGGAGTGAGGCTGGGGTGTGGCAGGGGCCGGAAATCCTCTGAGCTTTCAGAAGTGGCCAGAATGCCTGTCATCCAGCTCCTGAATCAGGGATTTTCAGCACTACCTCTGAGCAGTGGGGCTGGCTGCCCAGCCAGGCTTCCAGCCCTGAGGACTCGTGGTCAAGTTCAGCAAGGTCCTGGGTAAAGAGGGTAGGAGGGAGCTCCTCCTTTTGGAAGCAGAGAGCCATGCAGGTTGAATTATCCTCTCCCAAGTGGCCAAGTGCAGTCGTCGTCGTCCCCCCTTACCCCCCAGCTCCCCGCCCCCCGCCCCGCTCCAGGCCCACAGGGACCACCACTCAGGGTTCGGGGCGGGCAGGAGGCCAGTTTCTCCAGCCTCCCCAGTCTGTTGGGCAGAGCGCAGTGGTGTCTTTACAGGAAACTCTTTCAGGTCAGGGCACTGATTTTCCTCTTGGTTTATTATTGGGGGGATAGGGTGGGGGTGGTAATAGTATTTTACCAGGGTGCTTCTAAGTTACTTAAAAATAGTCTACAGACAAAATATTTCTTTCATTTGCCTGAGTTCACAACTTTGATGGTCACAAGGCGGCCTTCTCCTTGTTGAGCAGGTGTGTTCTCCCGTAGTTCTCTTCTGCTGGCCAGACTCCGTGGCCAGGCCCCGGGCCCTAGACCCCATCCTCTCCCTACAGTCCCTCTTTCCAAACAGACAAGGCCAGTCAGGGTGTTCTCTTGTACACAAACGCCAGCCTATTGAACAGGAATGCCAGCAAGTAGCCTACTGGGAAAGATGGGAGGGCCGCATTACCCTCAGGGCATCTGGGGGGTGCTTCTCACCAGTGTGGGTCCTGATACTGTAAGGATGGCTCCAGGTAGAGTGGGTCAGTCATGGCAGCCCCAACCTCAGAGGGCAGGCCTGGAGCATCTGGTGTGCACAAGTGTTAGAGGGTCGGGGGCTAGTTCTGGGTGTGAGTCTTAGGTAGGAAGGCATCTTTAGATTTTAGGGCACTTCTGAATTATCAATCCCTGGACCAGGCAGTCATCACATAAGAACATCGACCTTCTCCACCTGGTGGCACAGGATGGTAGGGAGGGGAGTGTGGGTTGGTTTGGCCTTGCCTTTTTATGCAAGGTGAGCTAGGTTTGTTTTTTCCCTTTCCATTTTCCCTAACTGGATGAAAAGGACATAATCCAAATCCCTTTTGTTGGAGAACGCCAGTCTGAGGGGAAGTGGGAGGCCAGAAATGAGAATCCTCTGAAAAGATTGTCAAATACTGATTTTCATTCTTTCAAGCTTATTTGTAAATACTTATTTGAATGCTGTGTATTTGTACAGGAATTTGAGCAAAAAATGTATAGAGTGTGATGTCCAATTGGTATTCAGCCCTATAAATGTGTTTTTAACCTCTGGCATTCTGTGCTTATTTAAAATAAGACTTCTAACCATTTCTTTTGTGTATTTATGTTTAAAAAAGTGATTTAAAAATGATCTTACCTGTACCAGAAAGCAAAGTTAAAAGAAAAAAAAATTTGTACTAGTGTCCCAAGAGGTATTTTACTGTATATATTGTGGTAGCATGTTCTAAATCCAACAAGTAATGTGAATTTTAGATGTAAATATCTGCCACTTGATTTTTCCCCCTTTCCCCACTCCCTTGACTGCTGTGATGTGAATTAAAGATGAATACCTGATACTGACCCACTGAATTCACTGAATGGGAGCAGCCCAAGTGCCCCTCTCCAACCCTTGTAGCTGGGCTCCAAGCCCTTTAGCCCCATAGAAATCTCTCTGCCCGGAGCACAGAGCCAGCCTTTCCAACGTCCTGCCTTGACACAGGTAGCACCTGAAAGGAGGGCAGCCAAAGAGGAAAGCCCCTCCAGTGCCTGTCTGCAGACTGGCACGCCCCTCCCTACTCAGAAGGCGCCCCCGGCAGCCAGGGGCCCCCGGAGCGTCCCCGCCGAAGTTGGCGGGCCAGCCCTTTAGCTCCCCAACGAGGCGGGCCGGCTCGGATCGCACAGCCACAGCGCCTAACCGGGCCAGGCGCTTCCCTGGGGCCTAGGACGGCAGCTCGGAGGGGGGGGGGCCCCTTCCTATGGGAAGTCCTCCAGCCCAGCGTCTGTCCACCCCGCCCGGTGTCCAGTCAGCCCGAACAAGGCGGCCTCCGGCCTAATGCGGACCTTCGGACCTGGTCATCAGGCTTCGCGGGCGCTCCCCAAAGCCGAGATTCCCCCACCCACGGGATCGTTTGAAAAAATGAAAAGGAAAGAAACTTCCCCGGAGCCTGCCCTTTGGGCCGCGGCTGACTCCAGAGCCGCAGGCCTGCGCCACGAGTCGGGACCCCGGGAGGGGAAGTCCGCGGGGTTTTTCGGGCCGGCGTGGGGCCCACAGCAAGGGGTACTCGGGATAATTCAGCACGCGCGAGACTGCGGCCGAAACCCGCTCCCGTGCGAAGCTTCCGGCTTCAGGGACCGCCGCTGCCCCTACTCAAGATGGCGGCCCGGGCCGCTTCCGCCACCCCCGCGGCCGCTTCCTGCCGGACGCCCTGGTTCAATCAGCGGCCGACAACTGTCTAGGGCCAAGGGCGGGCGACGCTACCAGCCAATAGGGAAGGGCAGCGTGGAGCCGACCGTCTGGGCTCCGAGGCGCGTGGACCAATACGAGCGCGGCGTGTGGGAGGGCGCGGGGGCAGCTCGCCAATGGGGAACTACGGCGCGCGGCCGGGACCTGGAGGGAGCGCCGCACCGCAGGCGCGGTTCAGTCGGGCGGCGGCGGCGGCGGCGGCGGTGGTGGCGGTGGTGGCGGTGGTGGAGGATGTGGGCCACGCACGGGCTGGCGGTGGCGCTGGCTCTGAGCGTGCTGCCGGGCGGCCGGACCCTGCGGCCGGGCGACTGCGAAGGTGCGGCGGGGCCGGGGTCCGCGCGCCAAGGCCGGCCTGGCGGCGGCGCTGAACACCACCGATCCGCCGTGAGGCCGGGGCTGGAACGGGAGGGGGCGGTGGCCGGTCCCAGCGGGGTCTGCCCGACGAGGGGCAGACGCCGGCTAGGAAACTGGTCCGACAAGAAAAAGTTGGGACTAGGTCGTACAGAAAACTTGTCTTGACATTGAGATAACGGCGGAGTTTTTGTCCTTTCCCACCTCTGGGCAGAGGCTCTCCCTGGCTCAGGTCGGGAGCCCCTAGGGCCGGCTGTGAGCACCGCGCCGTGTCCAGTGGGCTTGCGAAGCCGCACCTCGGGGTTCGGTGTTGTATTTGGAAATGAGAAGCATTTGGATCGTTTTTGTCTTCTCTCTCCGGTTTGGCCTCTTATGAGGTCACAGTGAGTCCATCTCAAGGACACGTGTTCAGTCTCGGCTTAAACTTTGTGGAAGGAGCAGGGAGGAGCTGTGTGTGGGTCATTGGGTGATGCTCGTTCCCCGCGTGCCCTTGGGTGTACCAGGGGACCCCAGCAACCTGGAGCTGGGTTCGGCCTGTGGGTACCTGAGAAACCCCGGTGATGGAAAAACTCACCTCCGTGTCTCCTATTAAAATAGCTGACGGAGTTCCTTCCTGGTGGACTGGGGTGCAACTTGGTGATTGCTGAGCATCTCCTTTTCCTCTCTTTTCCAGTCTGTATCTCTTATCTGGGAAGATTTTATCAGGACCTCAAAGACAGAGATGTCACATTTTCACCATCCTCTATTGAAAAAGAACTTATAAAATTCTGCCAGGAAGCAAGAGGCAAAGAGAATCGGTTGGTGAGTAGTCTGTTCCCCTCCGTGGCTGGCCCTGCCCACTTGCGTTCAGGAGGTGCACTGTTGTGTCAGTATGCTGGTGTGGGACGCGAGTGCTTTCATGCATCGTGCAGTTAGGATGTTTTTTTCTCATGTTAGTATTGATTAAGCAACTACTGTGTGCTGGGCACTGGGAGGATCAGTGGGGAGAAATAACAGGCAAATGATGCCATGGGATGAGTGTCCTGGAGAAAATGACCATGGTGCTCTGGCAGAGAGGGTGGGTGCTGATTTAGGCAGAATAGTCAAGAATCTCTCTGAGGAAGAGTCATCATTGTTGGGGGGGGGGGCGGGAAAGAGCATCCCAGGCAGAGGGACCAGCCATTGTGAGCGCAGAGGAGGCCATGCGCAAGGACATAAGAAGACAACAAAGTGGGCACAGGATGGGCTAGGGCCGAATTGACGACAGGAGCCCTAATGAAATGAGGACTTTGTAGCTTTAATTTCCCTGGCAGTCGCTGGTTTGTCTGTCTCTGTTTAAAGGTCTGAATCCTGGTAACTCCTAAACTTATTTGGAGGCTGTCAGCTCTGGGACCAAGCATGTAATAAGAACCCGGGGTTTACACTGACCGAATCTGACTGCCCGTACAGGCAGGGCGTGGGAACAGGAGGCCCTGCCAGAGAGAGAGGTTTTGAGCTGTCCGTGTGTTGCGGAGGAGAAGGCTCTCAAGTGGAACCGCCTGAAGGCCATTGTCCTCTCTCGCTGCAGTGCTACTACATCGGGGCCACAGAGGACGCTGCCACTAAAATCATCAACGAGGTGTCCAAGCCCCTGGCCCACCACATCCCTGTGGAGAAGGTCTGTGAGAAGCTCAAGAAGAAGGACAGCCAGATCTGTGAGCTGAAGTATGGTGAGTGTGGCCAGGCCCTACTGACCCGCCGCGGAGCCTCTGCGCTCAGCCATGCTCGCTGGGGGAGGCGGGGGAGAAACGAGAGCCACGGCGATGCATTCGGTAGCAGGGCCGGTGGTGCTGAGTGCGGGGTCGGGGGGTACGGACCTGGCAGAAGAGGCCTCACGGAGGAGGTGGCCTTCAGCAGACTTTGACGGCGGTAGAAGATGGGCCAAGAGGAGCTAATGGGAGCACTGCAGGCAGAGGGGATCTTCCGGGGATGATGGGTGCACGGGTCACAGAGGGCCCTGCAGGTTGGTGAAGATTTGGCGTCAGGTCTTCAGTCTGAGTGAAGTTGGGAACGTGGTTTGGTTTTGGTTTTGGTTTGTGGAGGGACCGCAGAGAGATTTTTTTTTTTTAAAGATTTATTTATTTTAGAGGAAGAGTGCCAGGGGCAGAGGGAGAATCTCGAGCAGGTGCCCCACTGAGCACAGAGCCCGATGCGGGGCTCAGTCCCACGACCCTGAGATCATGACCTGAGGCAAAATCAAGAGTCAGACGCTTAACCAACTGAACCACCCAGCCCCTGGGAACATGGGTTTTTGAGCAGAGAAGGGATGTGGCCTGACTTGGGTTTAATAGGCTCGTCCTGCTGAAGGCCCAGCGATCTTTCTTATTTTGAAGGGAAGTGCCTTCAGCAGACAGGCAGGCCCGTCCAGGCGCTTGCGGCATCCCTTTTATCGAACAGAGGAAAAAAGCAGGCCAGGTCCTCCGTGTCAGGACCAGAAATAGTTGTCCTTGTCTATAAAATTTAAACAACACCAACATATTTTATTGTGACTCGAGTGTCCAAGGGCCCGTGTTTGCCCACTTGTGTCAAGGATGCCTAGTCTCCCGAGAGGGACCTGGGACAGGTGCGGTTGGCTCCTGGTCTCTCTGTGCTCATGAGTGGCCACGGGGAGTAAGCTCCTGACCAGGGTCTGTGTTGGGAAATTGGAGCTAGGAGATCTGTCTGTTCTGTCACCCTGGAGCTGTCACTCTACAGTGAGTGACTAGTTGTCAGGGCACCTGGGGGAGTGGGAACCTCATTTCTCCTGTGAGGTTTGTCCTGTAAGAACCACATGGCCTCCGTCCCGGGCCAGGCAGCACTGCATGTCTGGGTGGACGCCGCCAGGGTGAGACCGGCCTTCTGGTGAAGGGGCCTTGGCCCAGTTCCCACAGGTCAGGGCGGTGGGCACCGACACGCACCGCAGGTGTCTGGAAATGTCTGTCCCCCTCCGACCAGTAGGGCTGCTTGTTTTAAGGGTTGGGGACGCTGTGCAGGGGTGACCCATCCTGGGACTGGGGGCAGCGGGGGGGTCTGTGGCCACTCCCACCAGCTCTCCCTGCTCTCTCCTCCAGACAAGCAGATCGACCTGAGCACAGTGGACCTGAAGAAGCTCCGAGTGAAAGAGCTCAAGAAGATCCTGGACGACTGGGGGGAGACGTGCAAAGGCTGTGCGGAGAAGTCCGACTACATCCGGAAGATTAATGAACTGATGCCTAAATATGCTCCCAAGGCAGCCAGTTCACGGACTGACTTGTAGTCTGCCGGACCCCTGCTGCACCTGAGGGGAAAGCAGCTCACCTGCCTCCTCCCCACAGCCTTTTTGTAATTTATTTTTTAGGCGGGCTCCTGACAATGTCAGGTGTGAAGCCTGGAGCTTTCCTGATGATGCTGGCTCTCCAGCGCCCCCCTTGGGGGGGATTCACTTTGTTCTGTTGCTGGTTTACTCTAGGACTTTAAAGTGTGTCTGGGAATTTTTTATTAAAGGAAGAAAATTTCTAGCTGTCCTTGGAGAATTAAAGTGAATCTGAAATAGGATTTCAACCCTAATGAAGATCCCACCAGTTTATGCTTTCCAGTTCACAAAGAACTGGTATCTTCACATTTGTCCCTCGGTGACCAGGGCTGGAGATGCCAGGGCAGGACACGGGCTAAGGCGGGGGGGGAGGGGGGGCTGGTGCAGGAGTGGAGGCGAGCCCAGGACGTGGCTGCGCCTGATGCGCCACCCTGAGGAGACTTCAAGCGGAAGTCACAGGAGAGGAGCCGGAGGCTGTGCAGCTTCTTGCAGGGCATTGGGGGGGGGGGGTGGTGTTTGGGGGGGGGTGTGGTGGGGGGGGTTGTGGGGGGGGGGGTGGTGTTGGATCTGGTGTACGAGGGAGGGGATTTATCGGGGCTGTGCCCGAGCAGGACGGAGGGTTGATTTAGTGTGGCCTTCTGGGAGGATGACCTCAGTAACTGCCAGTGTTCAGTACCATCACATTTCTAAACATGCTCTTGGCCTGGCTACCTCCACCAACCACTGTCCAGACCTGGCCATCTACTTGGTCATCTGAGTTTGTGGCCTGGTGTCAGTCCCAAGCTTCTGATGCCTAATTGGGGTTTTGTAAGATTTGCAGGGGTTGGTTTATACAAAGTCAGTGAGAGGCTGCCTTTTGCCCTGTTTATCCAAGAGAAGTCCAACCAATGAAGTCTCTCGTCCCCAGAGTCTGGTTTTTCAGTTCCTCTCCGGGGTTGGCTTTGGGAAACCCAGTTGTCAGCATGAGCTGTGAGTTGGTGGAGACCCCTCTGCTTCTTGGGCCTGTCGAGACCACCTGAAGGGAAGGACTAAAGCAGTGCTTTCCAAGGAAGACTTCAGATCACATTGTTTTTGCTGCTAAATTCAGTTTGCCTCCATAGGCCTTGTTACCACCTGCTGTGGCATCCACTAACGACAGCCAGCACAGCTTCAATACCTTGTTTCTAGGACGGAAGCAAGAAAGTTGAGCTACTTCTCAGGCCAAGACTTCCTTGTTTGGGGGAATTAGGTGGGCTATTAAGGTCTGACAAAGTGCAGTGTCCTGAGCCCTGAACAAGTGCTGGGAAAATCCACAGCTGAAGACAGAAGTCTTAGGAGGTGAATGGCCGTGGCCTACAGGCCACATTGAACACAGGCACAGGGAAAACCAACCACTACCGCTGCAGGGCTGACCCCTCAGGTGATCTACAAAGGGTTAACTCATTCTGGAAGTGGAGTTCAAATCAGGCAACGTTACAGGTGTTTCTTTGTTACAGGTGTTTCTTATAAGAGCTTTCCCCTTGCACCTGCCTCATCTGCTCCAGGAGGTGCTTCATTTGATTGTGGGAGAAGGAACTGGTAGGCTCTTCCCCACTCCCACGGTTTCCTTGCAGAAGCTGGGTCAGTTTTTGCGATGCGTCCAGCAGCTCTCTGGAGAATGAAACCTCAAGGGGGCTTGGGCACCTGGGCAGGATTCTCCCCGCACCTCACCTCTGGAGAAGTCCTGGCCCCGGAGGTGGATAGAAGGGCACTAGTCAGCAAGAGGTAAGCGTGGCAAGCTGTGGTAACTACTGGGTTTGTCTTCTCTTCGCCCTTGGCTCTATGGCCCTGCCCCTGCAGCCCACTATCTGCTCGGGAGGCCTCAGCGGAGGGTGGACCCCGTGGCGCCAGGGAGCCTATTCCCACTCGGTAAACGGCAGGTAGGTTGTTGGCTCGGGTTTCTCTCTGCCTGAACCCAAACGGGCCTCGCCTTTTGCATTCATAGCTCATGGTCGTCGTGACCTTTCTGGGGACCGCTGCAGGTGCTACCTGAACGCGGAGGATGTCTGCTTTGTGGGGCGTGGGCCCTAGACGGGGCCTAGGGAGCGGCGTGCTTAGGTTCTCGCGCCTGTCGATCCCGGACCACAGTCGGGAGATGCTGGGGTGGGGATTGGGGAGATGCCACGTAAAGAGACCGCGCTGGGTCAAGGCCACACCAGGGAGCCCGGTGCCCACAGACGCTGCCCCTCCCATTCCACGCAACGCGGACCCCCGAGCCGGAAGCGGGAGGCCTAGGTCCTGCAGCCCGCTGGGGTCGGACACAGTGCTCTCGCGACGTCCCCGATCTCCGCGTAGCCCGGCCCCTTGGCCGCGCGGTGGCGTCAGAGCTCGCTGTCGGGCGGCTCTCGCCTGCCCGCCCCGAGATCACGTGACACGGGGGGGACGGCGCATTCCGATGACGTACGCCCGGCGCAGCTCTCGCCCCGCCCGCTGCGGAGTCACGTGACAGTCCGGCGCAGCCTGATAACGTGATGCCCAGCCCCTGGGCGCCGCTCCCGCCCCGCCCCGCTGCCACCGCCGCGCCGAGTCCTTTTGTCCAAGATGGCGGCGCCGGGGGCGCTGCCTCCTCGGCCGCCGCCGCCGCCGCTGTGAGGGGCCTGCGGGCCGCCCGCCCGCCCGCCGCGCCGGCGCCATGAAGAGGCAGAGCGAGCGAGACTCGAGCCCGAGCGGGCGCGGCTCGTCATCGTCGGCCAAGCGGCCGCGGGAGCGCGAACGGGAGGCGGAGGCGGGCGGGCGGCGGGCGGCGCACAAGGCCTCGGGCGGCGCCAAGCATCCCGTTCCAGCGCGGGCCCGCGACAAACCCCGCGGTAGCGGGGGCGGCGGGGGTGGGCATCGCGACGGCCGCGGCGCCGGGGACGCAAATCACCGTGCGAGCAGCGGCCGCTCCTCGGGCTCGGGCGCCGGCGGCGGGGGACGCGGCGGCAAGGCCTCCGGGGACCCAGGCGCTTCAGGTGCTTCACCCCGCGCGTCTCCGCTGCCACCACCTCCGCCACCGCCCGGGGCCGAGCCCGCGGGTCCCGGCTCGTCGGCGGCCGCGCCCGAGTACAAGACGCTGCTCATCAGCAGCCTGAGCCCCGCGCTGCCCGCCGAGCACCTCGAGGACCGGCTCTTCCACCAGTTCAAGCGCTTCGGCGAGATCAGCCTGCGCCTGTCGCACACGCCAGAGCTGGGCCGCGTGGCCTACGTGAACTTCCGGCACCCGCAGGACGCACGCGAGGCCCGCCAGCACGCCCTGGCCCGCCAGCTGCTGCTCTACGACCGGCCGCTCAAGGTGGAGCCCGTGTACCTGCGCGGCGGCGGCGGCGGCGGCGGCGGCGGCGGCGGGAGCAGCCGGCGAAGCAGCAGTAGCAGCGCTGCCGCCTCCACGCCGCCCCCGGGGCCGCCCGCGCCCGCCGACCCGCTCGGCTACCTGCCGCTGCATGGCGGCTACCAGTACAAGCAGCGCTCGCTGTCCCCAGTAGCCGCCCCGCCGCTGCGGGAGCCCCGCGCCCGCCACGCCGCTGCAGCCTTTGCCCTGGATGCTGCCGCGGCCGCCGCGGTGGGGCTATCCCGGGAGCGGGCCCTGGACTACTACGGGCTGTACGACGACCGCGGGCGCCCCTACGGCTACCCCGCCGTGTGCGAGGAGGACCTGATGCCTGAGGACGACCAGCGGGCCACGCGCAACCTGTTCATCGGGAACCTGGACCACAGCGTATCTGAGGTGGAGTTGCGGCGGGCCTTTGAGAAGTACGGCATCATTGAGGAGGTGGTCATCAAGAGGCCTGCCCGTGGCCAGGGTGGTGCGTATGCCTTCCTCAAGTTCCAGAACCTAGACATGGCCCACAGGGCTAAGGTGGCCATGTCGGGCCGGGTGATTGGTCGAAACCCCATTAAGATAGGCTACGGCAAGGCCAACCCCACCACTCGCCTCTGGGTGGGCGGCCTGGGACCTAACACCTCACTGGCCGCTCTGGCCCGGGAGTTTGACCGCTTTGGGAGCATTCGGACCATTGATCACGTCAAGGGAGATAGCTTTGCCTACATCCAGTACGAGAGCTTGGATGCAGCTCAGGCCGCCTGTGCAAAAATGAGGGGCTTTCCCTTGGGTGGTCCAGACCGGAGGCTGCGCGTGGATTTTGCCAAAGCAGAGGAGACTCGGTATCCCCAGCAGTACCAGCCCTCACCCCTCCCTGTGCATTATGAGCTGCTCCCCGACGGGTATACTCGGCACCGAAACCTGGATGCAGACCTACGGGTGCGGGATAGGACCCCCCCACACCTCCTGTACTCAGACCGAGACCGGACCTTTTTGGAAGGGGACTGGACCAGCCCTAGTAAAAGCTCTGACCGCCGAAACAGCTTGGAGGGCTACAGCCGGTCCGTGCGCAGCCGGAGTGGGGAGCGCTGGGGAGATGGGGACCGGGGCCTGCCCAAGCCCTGGGAGGAGAGGCGGAAGCGGAGGAGCCTTTCCAGTGAGCGCGGGAGGACAACCCACTCCCCTTACGAGGAACGGAGCAGGACCAAGGGTGGTGGGCAGCAGGTGGACCGGGGCTCTGACCGCACTCCTGAGCGAAGCCGTAAGGAGAACCACTCCAGTGACGGGCCCAAGGAGTCCAGCAGCAACTCCCTCAGCAACAGCAGACATGGGGCTGAGGAGCGGAGCCACCACCACCACCATGAGGCTCCCGACTCTTCCCACGGGAAGAAGACACGAGAGAGCGAGCGCAATCATCGGACCGCTGAGGCTGAGCCCAAGCCTCTGGAAGAGCCAAAACACGAGACCAAAAAGCTCAAGAATCTTTCCGAGTATGCCCAGACGCTGCAGCTGGGTTGGAATGGGCTCCTAGTGTTGAAAAACAGCTGCTTCCCAACATCTATGCACATCCTAGAGGGGGACCAGGGGGTTATCACGGGCCTCCTCAAAGACCACACTTCCGGGAGCAAGCTGACCCAGCTGAAGATCGCCCAGCGTCTGCGACTGGACCAGCCCAAGCTCGACGAGGTCACGCGGCGGATCAAGCAGGGGAGCCCCAATGGCTATGCGGTGCTCCTAGCCACCCAGGCGACCCCCAGCGGGCCTGGCACTGAGGGGATGCCCGCGGTGGAGCCAGGCCTACAGAGGCGGCTTCTCAGGAACCTGGTCTCCTACTTGAAACAGAAGCAGGCGGCGGGGGTGATCAGCCTGCCGGTGGGTGGGTCCAAGGGCAGAGACAGCACGGGCATGCTCTATGCCTTCCCGCCCTGCGACTTTTCACAGCAGTACCTCCAGTCCGCACTGAGGACATTGGGCAAGCTAGAAGAAGAACACATGGTGATAGTTATAGTAAGAGACACTGCCTAGCCCAAACCTGTTTCCAGCTCCGCATTTGTGTCACAAAAGCAGTTATTTTAAAATCTGACCACCACCTCCTCCCCACATCCTACCCCCTTGGTTTGAATTCTCTGCTGGGTTATTTTGATTCATTTAATGGGGGACCAGAGTCCCGACCCCCCACCAAAACTAAGTTCTTAGATTTTAGGGTTGTGTTTTGTTTTTGTTTTTTGTCTTTTGTTTTAACAGCAATGAGAAAAGGGACTCTTGTCATGTTGATTTCTAGTGTACGAGATACTGTCTGCTGTGTTCTGTATTTTTTTATTTTTTGACTAACTGTATGGAAAGTTGTCAGTAAAGCCTTTGTCAGAGGATGGATTTTTAATCCTGTTCTCCTGGTTTAATCAAGTTTTTCCTCAGTAAATGGAAGACTTTTCCCCACTGCACGCATGCAAATGCTCTGTCAACTTCCCAGCCCGGGTATAGCTCAGAATCCTGCCGTGTTGGTGGCTCTCAGTCCCTCAGCTCTTTGGGCCCAGTCAGGACTACGTTCACATTTGTTTTTAGCCTTGGCTGACAGCAAGTTCAGTTTGCCTCTGGATCCTCCCTTGCCTGCCTGAGCAGAGCCCTGAGCCTAAGCGCCATAGCCAGCAGCTTTTGGTGGTTTCGGAGTTTTCGTTTTCCTGCCCTGAACGTGTGTGTTCATCTGCTTGAGCTGTAACTGTTGGACAACACGCCTAATCTTGAGGCCTTTTGCAAGCAGGTAGTCTAGCAGTTGTGTGGTCCTGTCACGGGGAAGACAAGTACAGTATGGATGCCACAGGGTCTCGGGGTCGATCTCAGATCGACGCAGGCTCCCCCTCTTATTCAGCCTTAATGTGGCTGTTGTGGCAGCCCAGGAACACCCGGCTGGAGGCAGAGCTGCTGCCTCATTCCCCCAGGGACACCGGAAGCCAAATGCCAGAACGGAGGGTGGTGGGAAGGAGCTTCTTTTGGTTCATTCTTGAAATGTACCCAGCGTTTGTAAATTCTGGTTCTTCCTTGTTTGGGGGCTAATGTATCAGTGGGTGGGGGGCTCTGCCCAGTCACTAGAGCTTTTTGAGGGAAGGACACTGAACCCCTGAAGAATTTTTGCAACGCTGCAAGGGAGCACAGTAGGAAGATGCTCTTAACTGACGTACCTGTTTCCCGGGTGTGAGGTGAGCGTGTGCCGTGGCCTCCTGCCCTGCTGCTGAGGTGGGACCACTGGGAGAAAGGTGCTTCTGTGGGGAAATTAAGTCACAGGTGCCAAGGCGCTGGGGCAATGCTAGTCAGAGCCATTCAAGCCCAGCTGGGGAGGGATGTGCAGGCATCCTCCAGCTGGGAGGGAAAGATGGCTTGAAAGAGTAAAATGTTGTCCTCCCTGGTCTCTAATGAGATCAGAGGGCAAACGAAGCCAGCGCCATTGGGCACCGGGGAGGGAACCCAGTCACACAGCATTTGTCACCAGAGAACACAGGCCAGATACACTCTCTCTTCAGAGTGTGTGTGTGGCAGTCTGGATGTCCCAAAAGAGCTGAGGGACAACAGCAGCCTCAGTAAGAGAAATGAGCCAACTGGCCAGGAACTCCAGGTTCTGGTGGCCACGCCACCCTCCTGGCCACAACCCCAGCCCATGCAAGGGAACACAGGTGACAGCTGGGATGCTTTGAGGTAGAGGAGGAAGCTCAGTGTGGACTGCCTGGAGGGTACTTGCCTCCGCAGGGAAAGAGGTGGCTTTTTGAGACCTCGGAGATTTAAAATGAACAGGGGAAGGTGCCTGGGGAGATCCTGCTCACCGGGCCACAGCGCGGGCTCATGAGAGAACAAGCACGTTCACAACAGAAAACATGAACAAAGGAAGTGTTAAGTGCGTTTATTTGCCTGTTTGTACTTGAGCTGTGGCCACAACTGCCAGGTGTCTGAGCACGTCCGTGGGGGACTCAGCTGACCACAGCTCCGCCATTCCAGGGTAGCTCGTACTGCTGGAAGCAGGAGTGGGCCTTACTTGTTCAGATCAAATGAGGCAGGGGTGTCTTGAAGGCACAATGCAGGGCTCCCTGCAGTTCGAGAAATGCCTGGGTCACACACAGGCCAGAGTTGCCTTGCCCCATGAAGTTCAAAACTTCTCTGGGCTGTTCTTCATAGAGTGGGTGCTCAGAACCCAGACTCGTGCACCACCCAGCAGCATTCCCAGATGTAAACCTGCTAGGAAATCTGGTTAGAGAAGACACTTCAACCCTTGCTTTGTCTACTCTTCAGGGATAGCCCCAAAAAGAACCAGAGCCCACCCGCTGTGACCTTCCTCCCGCTCTTCTTTGACCCTCTTCTCAAGCACTTCCTTCCTTTGGCTCTTAAGACAAAGCAGGTTCTGTGAACTCTCAGACCTAGCGGGTCAGGTGGTCAAGGTGCCGACTGATTTCAGACTGTCCCAGAGAGAGAACTTAACTGCAGGTGTCCAGAGCCTCCACCTGGGGGTTCGGGTCATGTCTGAGGTGTCACTTAAAGGCAAAACAAAAAACAAAACAATCTGAGGCAAATTTTGCCTCACTGTTGGTTTGCTAGTATTGTACGTGTTTCTTCTAAGTGACTCATATCTGAAGCCCCGGTATAGTAAGAAAGAGGGCCGATGTCTCCTTAGCCTCTCAGGGCGTGTTGTCAGGTCAACCACAACTCCGCTTCCCTGTCGGAGGTCCCCATCTCCACCCCAGAGACCTGCAGGCCCTCCCAAGGGCTGCCGGCAGAGTTGAGGGAGACGGCCGGCGGCTCAGCAGAGTTCATGACTAGAAAGGTGTTTTTACTCGTTGACTTTTAACCTGTTTCCTCTTGATGCATCCAGCACCAGCAGTCAAGGCTACTCCACTGGTTAGGTGTGAGGCATGAAGCAACGTAAGGGCTGAGAGCTCTGCTCTCTAAAGGACCAAGAGGTACGTGTGACACAGGCCCGCCTCAGTGTGTGTGATCAACTGGATGGTGCTCCAAAGCCCAGTAGGGCTTTCCCAGCCCCTGGTGAGTTTTAGCCGTCTTGTCTTGTTTACTTCACAACCACATTTGTCCCCTCTTCTCTCGGCAAAGGGAGAAAGGTCTCTAGCTATTTGATACCTACATAATAGAAACCGAGAAGCTGTTATTGGGGCAACTCAAAGGAAGAAACTGTGGTTTCCTATTTATTGTGGGAGGAAAGCAGGGTGAGGTGGGTTAAGTGAAAAGGTCAGAGCATGTGGCACTTTCCCTGGCAGTACCCCAGTTCCACCAACCACAGGCTGATTTTGGAGGCCTGAGCCCTATCTTTACACCTGGCCTGCCCAAGCCCCTGCTGCCCCAAACTGCCAAAAGTGAAGAACAGCTCTGGTGCACTGTTAACTCTCCCTTGAGGAAAACAGTAATGACGGTCACCCAACTAACTAACTATAGAGGTGGCCGCTCCTTAACTCTGCCAGCATGTTCCTCCGAAACTTCCCAGCTCCACCAAATCTGTACTGCAGAGCTGCCTTCTTAAGTCAGAACCTGGGACAGAGAGAGGTGTCCACAGCACACAATGCCCAAACACCTCCTCCACCACCCCAGCGTGGTTCTCGGGCACAGACCAATACCCCCTCGGGGGGAGGGCCGCAGACCAAGGGTAGACACTGTGACTAAGCTACTTTTCTCCCCAGAGTGCTTTATTTGGGCAGAATGAGTCTCACCACCATCCTGGACTGCCTCTCTCAGAAGGCGTCTTCTCTACTGGCTGGCTAGAGTTGCAGGGAAAGGGACCACCGCACTTTGGTAAAAGAGAACAGGGAAAGGCCATAAACAAACAAAGACAGACTTGTAGTTTATTTTGTATTTTTTTTAAATAAATACACTTTACATTAAAGAAAAAGGCCTTTGATTTGTAATTTCCACATTGGGGAGAAGGAAGAAAAAAAATTTTTTGAAAAACTGAATCACAAAGAAAAATAGAGGGAGTGAACTTATATCCTAAGTTCCCTCAACTCCACAAAACCAATATCCACAATGACCTTGCTGCCCCCAAACCATGAAGGTGGGTGAATCTAGGCATTTACTCAGCAAATAAGCACTGCCTTCCTCCCCACCTCTGGCAAGAAGGAAAACAACTTAACCTGACAGCATATGAGGCAACAGAACAGGTTAAAAAATCATATATTATATTTATAATAAAATATTCTTAATCCTTATCAATTTAAGAAACCACGATTTTCCTTTTCATTTAAATACGTATGTAAAAATGCCTCCATATTGTTCTTTAGACATCATTTTCTTCCATAGAAAATGAGGTGCTGGGACAAGAGACCTGGTGGATATAAGTTCATACCCTCAGTTATAAATGCCTGGTTTTTTTTTTTTCTTTTTAAATTTTATAAAAAACTATTTGTTCTTTAAGTAAAGAACGTTATACAAAGAAAATATATTGTGAAATAACCCCAGAGACATGTTTTTTTTCCCCTTGAGGAAAGAGCTGTCCGTCCTAGGAGAAGGGGGAAGCAGAATAGGGCCTAACCCCTGTTGTCTTTTTTGTGGTTGTTATTGTTTTAGAAGGACCCTCAGATTCCAGTGAGGCTCTCTAAGCCATAATCCTCTGAATGCAGGGCATGCAGTTCCTTAAAAGATAGCCCTGGGAGAAAGGGAAAGGAAGGTGTTCTCAATTCATCTGACTCAGTTTCTCGCCTGTCAGGAATGTCTTGCACACGATGATGGCTCCTCACTCATTCAGAGATAAGATGATGTCATCTTCCAAATCAGAGTTGTCAGAGCTATCCGCTGAAAGGGAAGAGGGAGAGACTAGATTACGCACCAGACTTAGAGGAAGCTTTCAGGAAGGAAGCACCTTTATACACATACCTTTATACCTAAGCAAAGTTAATCACCAGTTTCCAGAAAGAAGAAAACACATCAATTAACTCCTTGGAGCTGGCTCTGGAGAATATACTTGTTGGCAACAGTGACCACGCCTGGGACCCGTTGTTCCTGCACCTTTCACAGGGCCTGGATGCAATGCTCTCTGCCTTCTAGAGGTTCTTCCTGACTGGGGGGCCCTGAAAGGACAGGGCAAACCCCTCTGAAACTTCTGAATGGCTGCAAAAGGGGCAGGGCTGAGGGAGAAATGAGTGAGCCTCCGCAGTCCTATGGCCTCATGTCCTTCCAGGACAGGCGCACAGGCCTGCCTGACCTCCCCCCGCAAAACACACACACACCCAGGGCCACTAAAAAGGCAGGCTGAGCCCAAGCAAGAATGAGATTTCTTTTAAACTCAACAACTCTCTTATCAGAAGACCCCATAAACGTAGAGACTGTCAACCAAGGATTCTTTCCTCTGAATATAATCAGCAGGGAACAAGTTCCCAAAAAGGTACAGGCCAGCAT